CAATTTACATTTTTTCTGTTCCATATTTCATTCTTCTGCCTAAGCAATTCATTCTGTTGGGAGCATCAGCCTTTGACAAGAGTTTGTGCTAAGGTTCAGTCTCACACCTGGCCACTGTAGGCAACAAAATGGCTGCCGCATTTGATGCTTACGGATACATACTAATGACATCACCACCAAGACTTGTTCTCAAACAAAGCAACTGCGGAAAATCTGATGCTTTAGTGCCACAGTTGCTTCATGATAGGGCTATCCTAGCTGTGTGTACTCAACATCAGCAAGACTTGTAAATGAATCAAGGAAGAGTTCTGAGCACAAAGAATCATCTTCTTCCCAAGGACATGTGGTCCATCAAGGGCAAATGCCCTTGTAACTCAAAAACAGGATCTCTGTGGTCTTCCCATCTTCCTATGACTCAAGCTCAGGGGAATGTAGTGTTGGATCTTAAACATGGGAAACAGAGTTGCTTCCTTACTGATTCAGTTGGTATTACTATTAAGACTGCCTCCAGTTATACAGCACTTAACCTAGAAACATCTACTGGGGGATACTCCTGGTACGGTTAAGATGAGAACAAAGAATCACTGCAAAACAGGGCGTCATGTTCAAAATTCTCATTCTGCTAAGCTAAGAACCCCTACTGCAGAATGTTTAATACAAGATATCCATGTATGGAATGGCAAAAGAAACAAGCCGGTGGACTGGGCAATACATTTCTATAGGGTTTGGAGCATGCATAGGGTTCTGTAAGGTTTGTGTTTTTTCCACTATAACCTAGCAAATTTAGTCATTTATATCACTCATACTCGGGTGGGAATCGTTGATCATGCTAGGCTGATATGAACTCCACTACACTCAATAGGATTGATTCCAAAGTTAGGATTGTACTGCAAAATATGAGATCAAGCAACCCAAGGTTATTCAAACCAGAAAGTATCCAGAACAAAGGAGAGTTTAATTCTTCGAGAGACATGTAGAAGACTCTCTGTTCTCTTCTTGGAGACAATAAAGCTTTACATAGCATACCAATAAAATAGATGCGTTAATTTCTGAGCTACCTTACCATAATTGGCTTCCTGATCAAGTCGGTAGGTTTAAGACAGTTCAAAATTCAAAATTCCACGCTATAACAACTTGAGACTGAACTGTTTGAGCTGATGTTTATGGCTTCCTTTCCTATTACTATAGACTTTGATTCAGTTTGAATACCAGTAACAGATCCAGAGGTATTATCAGAAATTAGTCTACAAACATTAGCATATCCAGAAAAAACAAACCCTAGTCTGACAAGATCTGACATTTCATGATTCCTTTACTTCAAAAACAATGATACCTGGCTGAACCAAGCAAAGCACAAACGTACTGAAGAAGCAAGCATCTAGATTCAACTAGTTGTCTAGAACTTAGGGCAAATGGAAGTTTTAAGAAATTATCAGGATATTTCCCCTTAAATCCTTAGGTCTCCACCACTTGGTGCTTCCTTGCTCATCAGAAACAGATTGTACAAGGACATAATAGTGCAGACAGCGTGGCAACTCCCTTCATTCATTCAGCTTACAGCTCAGAATGCAAGTTGTAGGACTAAATTATAACCCCCAAACCAGTCAATACTAGAAAGAAAGGAAGGAAAGTAACATTATCCTGACTATTGGAAGGAAAGAAGGATGTGTAGAAGGTTGCCTTTAGGGCCTTATGGAATACAAATGCTTTACACAGCTACAGGTCCAAATCTTTGATCTCCCTTTTTGCAGAAGCTATGATGTAGAAAGCCAATTGTACTAAGCAGACAGTTCTATGCTGAATATAAATTATCCTTTAAGTATAGCAAGGTATTCTCCTGCTCACATTTAAGAGAAAAGGAAGCTTGCCAGGAGGAATGACAGAGCTATGAAGCAATAACACCTTTTATGCAGGTGGGAAAAAGAATTAAAATGCAGACAAAGATCTGAATGGTTAAACACCTTGAGGAAGGGAAGAGAGAGAAAGGAGGGGGAGCAAATCTGTGTCTTTTCAGTTTCATTTGACAGAATAATTTAAGCAGTGAACATTCACACATCCTGCAACAACAACAACAGTTTGTTACTTGCCTCCCATAATAGAGTTGATCCTCTTATAACCTTAAAAAAAAAGACTTCAAGAATCATTGGCTTAAGTAATGTTCAATTTTATCTTCAGATTCAGCTACAGACACAGCTGAGGCAGAACATGTCTGGAAATTTAAAAAGTCTTCTCTCTCAGCAAACACTTGCCTTTTTCCTATCAGCTAACTCTTCGCGTTCTCAGGCTTGATCGTCATTAATATTCCGATCAAGTCTTTGCAATTAACACACTTCCTGTTTTCTTCCCCCCACATCAACCCCCTCCACTACCACCTCTGTATAGGTGGGATTATCTGCTTAGATGCAGTTCTCTATTATAGATTCTGGTGTGTTTCTTTCTCACCCTTATCTTATGCAAAATTTACAGTATCGAAAGCATTCAAGGATGAAGGCACCATACAAGCTCCCGTTCGCATTTTAAATAGAGAGACAAATAGTTTTTGACAATCCAATAGTTTTTTTTTTATTGGAATCTGTTCAGAGAAGGCTTTGCATCTTAGAAATTAACACAGGGCTCCGGGGTTCTGTTGATGATCTTACAAAAGAGGCATCTGTTCCTGAGCCATCAAGAAGCCTGTGTAACTTGCAGGCTTACATAGCCATTCCACCTAGAGAACAAATAATTCATTCCACATTATCGGTGACCAAGAGAGGAATGTCTATATACACACAAAGATATCATGGCATTCAGGACAGAAAAAAAAAAGTCTTCTGTGCTTTTCCATATTGTGCCTATTTCCCTCGGCATATCAACTTTCACTTTTCATTTGCTCACCCTCCGTAAACAGGAAAAAAAGTTGATGTGCTTATGGCACAAGTTCTCTCGAATATGGTTTTTCAATATGGTAGGTGTGCTAAATGTTAAAGAGAGGCATGTTTGCATTTTAGATGAACCAGATCCCTTCATCAACCCCCTTCCTCAAACTGAAACAAACCCCTGATGCTTCCCAAGAACAGCCTCCTGGCTGCTCATTTTAGATACATGGTTGAGCTCAAGCTATTTTAAGGCAAGGTTGTGTGTTTCCATGGTCCACACACCCCTCCTTCCCTCTCTCCCCTACCCCCCAAGGTCACAGAGAAGGTAATGCCTACTCATTACAGACCTTCAAAACTACTTTTTACAAGTTATTACTATACCAAGGTTGCCAGCAGAAACCTCTGCCCTGTAGCCAAACTAGATTTCCGTTCAAGGCAGCAGGTATAAAAAGGCACGCCACAGCCAATTTCTGGAAGGGAGAGAATGATGTGTTAAGTCCAGCTTATTTCTTTCCTTTCACCACCACTAGTAATGACAAAGAAGTACTTCTAGGAACCCAAGTCTCTTCCTCCTAGTTTCTCTGCCCAGAACATCCACACCGAATGCCAGCTTAAACACTGCCATGCTTGAATCTTCTTTTCCACCAGCCTGCAGGTTCAACCAAATCATCTGAGTGTCTGGATGTATATCAATATATATTTTCTCCCTCCCTTGCCAGCTGCTCTACATCTTATTCCAAGATTCCAACATGAGCTCAAGGAAATCCTTCAATTAAGGAACTTCATTTACACTCCAGCCCATTGCTGGCTTTTTCCTCTTCTCTTGCACAAACAGACACACACATATATATAGACACACCAGCAGGGTGTTTTTTTTTTTTTAATGCAATCTGTGTCAAATGCAGCCTCCATTACAAGACTACCATTCCACCCACCAACCATGTCACATCTTCTGCTTCTATCCCCCCCCCCACCTAGTCCTAGCCTTCCTGCATCCCCCTCCCTCAGTAATCTGCACCCTGCCCGACCCCCAAATTCTGCACTGCTTTCATCGATGGGAAGGTGTTGCACCGCAGAAGAGGAGAGAGCGCGGTTCTGTGTGCCTGCCTACCTCTGATCCACAAGTTGATCAACCCTCCCAGCGGCTGAGCACTCTATCGTTGATTCTGCCCTCTCCTCCCCCCCCCCGACCCCGGTGAAATGCAAGGTACAAATGGACCCCGACAGACCAGCCGTGCCTAGAAGATTGCGAAGCTGTGTCACGGAGGCGGCTTTCCGAGGGAAGAGTTACACACTCACTTCCTCACTCCGGCTAGTCATCGCAGCGCGTTCCCTGGAGGCTGTTCAATGGGGGGGGGG